TCGAATATCATCTTGCGTGTTTGTAATATAATATGTAATCTACTACATAGTGACAACACGTACTATCACAATTGATTAAAGACTTGACATGCGGATAAAACTTTGATGTTTTCACCGTAATTCATATTGATATTAGAACTTTGGAGGTGGAACAATTTCACACTATCCACTGACCCATGCCATTGCGTTGTATATAATATCGCAATAAAGCATTACTTGGAGGTCAACGCATGCAGAATGATGGGATGTTAAAATCACGAATGTCACTAATTAAAAAGTCTCATAATAAACCAAAATGTTTAAGAGATTTTGAAAACTGACGAATTTTAAGCGTCAACTTTTAGTTGTGAATACAATACATATATCTATTGTTTTTTGCTATGTTGTCATATTCTTAGCCAATATACCTCTACCAATTATAAAGTTTATAATGGTACCTATAAACACCCTGCGTTTGGTATTTACAGTAAGGCCTCACTTTTCGAAATGTTAATATTTATCGATTTTAATCGTGCATTGTCAGATTACCCGGAACTATATTAGCAGAAGCATACCCAATGTATACAATGTATATGATCTCAAATCTCAATCTCAACACTGTTTGTGAATTGTAAGGATATATTACAGCACGTACTTTGTTTAAATACAAAAATACTTGGGTTAGCTACTTGTGTTCTTACTACTTACAAATGTTATACATTTCACAAGACCCTTAATTGTGGATTGACCCATCACGAACCAATCCATGGATCTATGTACCAAACAAACATTTATTATTATAACAATCGACATAGATCGATTGTAACGACACCACAATCAGGAAGGTAATTGAAAAGGTATCTTGAGAACGAAAAAGACAATTATTTTACATTTACGCACAAACATAGTACAGAATGATTTAAATGCTGACAAATCACAGATGAAGCAAGATTGAAAGTGAAACAATTTATTTATAGTTATATATATATTCATCACCCTGTTCTGTGTGTTAATAAAAAAAGTCTGTTACAGCAAGTCTCAGAAGTATCGGGGCAGCCAGTTTGCTCGCGAATTAGCTAACTGCTAACTGCCAATATCGCTGGCGCCGGTTAGTGATCGCGTCCACTCTTGGCGAGTCTATAATGCATGAGGAGACATAGAATGTTTTTATGCATCCTCAGGCTGGTACATGTCTGGATTCCCCTGAATGATTTGAGCCCGAAAATGGTCACAGTCAGCTGGCGTGATAATATTATAAATGCGATTAATCCACCGATATTTATTATATTAGGGTAACCATCTTGAACACTGATTGAAACTAAATAGACAAGTTGAGATACAGTTTCCTACAAATCAAGGAGAAAATAACAAACTTTCACACGAAAACGATCCGTTGGGGTAACATTAAGCCAACCGCTGGAAAAAATCGACCTCATTCGTCGTTTTTGTGTGAACACGAGCATAGAACACTTTCCCTGGTATATATTTCAAAGCGAAATCGCCATCCAACTGTAAAACCGTCGCTGATTAGCTCCTTAAGTATGAGGATCGTCCTCTACTGTTACATAGATTCGCCTTAAGTGGGCGTGACCGCACGACGGCGCCATCGAGATTCGAAAGCCAACCGTTTAGCCAAAACAAAAGCAGTTAGCCAATTCGCTAGCCCCAATACTTCTGAGACTTGCTGTAAATGAACTCGTGTATTGGGTTCAGATGAACATGTGACTAGTCACCGCTGTACATACATACGCATAATCGATGTATTTGATATCAACAGCTTTGTACAATAATTATTCCAATACGACCATGTTTTTCAGTGCTAAATGTGAAACAATTCAATAGCCATGCAGCATCCATAAATCATATATGTAGATCATCCTTCGTTTGAATAATAAAGTGATATTGAACATTTTTTGTAATTCTACCACTCCCCGCCAGTACTGGGATTTTTGTCGTTGTGGGTTATGCATAAGCGTCTTGAACAATATCGTAGGGTACATGCATGGGGACATATATTCCGGTATTTTGTGTAAAACCTTATTGTTATACGCACATGGAATAGACAATACAAAACTAAACAGGGCAGTCTGAAGCTGCGTTTGTAGAACTTTTTGAAAACTGTCAATGATTTATATACACGTTATATGACTTTCTGAATATATTCGCAACGTGACTGCAGAAATACATTTGGTAAATAGTTTTATGGAAGCATAAGAGAACAATCATTCTGGTTTAATCGAGCGAGAAAAAGTCAGTTGTGTGGTGCTTTCGATTGCGCAAATTTTGAATACGTCTCTGACAGCGTCTGGTGGAAAAGTTTCTCTGAAACTGAAATCGAGATTTTAGCTGACCCTTTCTTTCCAGCTTACCTTCTTCCAAAAAAAATGTGCAAAAATAAAATATCGGAATTCAGGTTCTTGTACACTGTACGTGTCGACATATTCGATCCGCGATTATTTTGTCTGTGTTTTAATTGATCATTTCTAGAGGTCAATATCTCAATATCTCGAGTACAATATAAGTACAATAACGAAAATTATTGTAGTTTTCAGCGCCATAGGTTACATGTTATTTTAGAATTTGGTTCCGAGTATTACATCATACAACATTACAACAAGGTTTGTCGTGTTTCTGAATAAATCAAATTTATTCACCGGATTGAATGTTGTCTGGGGCAAAATATCTTTTAATGTACCCTGAACAACCTAGGTTATTGACCTGAAAGGTTACGGTCGAATGATGTATAAGTAAATGCACACACAAATCTTGTCTTCTTGACTGATAGATGTTTCACAAAAATAAATTTGTTTTAAAAAATCATATCTGAGTCCCGTCTAACATAGCTACAATATTCATTCGTTTTGTTCTACATACTACATCATCAACAGTCAGTATGTGCATCAAATCAATCATATTTAGTAAAATACTTTTTTATTTATTGCTCAATAATACAATGCCTTTCACCACCGACAAAGGATGCTATTGTTAAGCTTATAATGCACTTTACAATGCATATAGATAAAAAATGAAAAAGAAAATTCTCACAGATGCGTCAATTGAATCAAGTGTTTCTGGTATAATAATTTCCCGGTAGAATAATAAATTTTAAACAAAAAAATCATAGAAAAATATTATGGCACCTGAAAATGGTTGATGTCACAGCTGGAATTGGGGATCAGTGAAATTAATGTTGTTGTAACTGCTGTCATTACGTAATCATAGTTTGCCATTTTTTATGTTGTCTTCATATAAGTAGTCATTCAATTTGTCATTATCGTTTCATTTGTCAGGTAACTGAGACCATTATGGCCAATATTGACAAGGGGTTAGTTTTTTTTCGACCTACTCCAGGAAGGATGTAGGTTCAAATACCTCAATCGACGTCTCACTCAGTGGCAGATTCAGGAGAATGACGTACTACGAATGGAGACATGTTGGTTTCGTGCGCTCTTCCAATTGTAGCTGTTTTATGCGACATAGTTATTCCTACCATTCATGCAAGTTCTCGAAGGAGCTTTAGCGTGCAGGTATTTAGTTAATAAATTAATGAAACAATAAATGAACCATAGTTTAGAAATTATGTTTATGAGATTATGAAAATAGTGCTAAAACGCAAATTATGAGCATTACGAACGATTAGCAATATTAGCAAACTTACATCATTACCGGGGTGGGTATTTACCAAATAATGCTACATTCCTGAAACTTGTTGTTTTTCCTAAAAGAAAATATAAATATAGTATATACAGATTAACCCAATTTTGTTAAAAGGCTTGCGGGAGCCTGTGAACCATTATTTTTACGAGAATATGATACAGGTGACATGTAATATATTATATTAGCAATGCCCGACTTATAGCGACGGCTCTGGGTTTTACGATTTTGTACGACAAAATAACTACAAAAATGCTAACAAATAAATTCAGTCGAATGTTTGACGAGCAATGAATCTAGTTGAAAGTTGATGTTACTGATTACTGCTACAATGGTTGAAAAACGATGCTTATTTACCTGTGATCACATTTAATATGACAAGTTTTGAATAAAACACATATAGTCATATTATTCACCACAGAATGAGCAAGAGGAACTTTCCTTTCGTTATTTACAATGCCTGCTGTTACACTACGAATTGTAAGAAGTCATTCGTTTGTTGTTAATGAACAAATTAACTGGTATTGAATTACAGAAAATTTGCACTGCGCTTAAAAAACTCCCATTCTATTCTCGTAATAGCTAAACTTTTTTTATTTGTTAACACAATGTAGTGAAAAGGGGTTAACGAGTAAAAAATCGGTATTAACACTGCGATAAAGACTTTTCGTTTTCGACATTGTGAAGTTCTTTCGTTTTTATGCAGAAAAAAAAATTATCAAGTAAAATCATATTAATTGAAGTTATTGTTCATACATGAGTTGTTGAACACACTACATAGTTTGTAATTTCATCCAGCTCCTTTCAGTCACGATTCAAGACAAATAAATGGCACAAATATAGATAATATAGCAAATTATATTTATATTTATATTTATATTTATATTTATATTTATATTTATATTTATATTTATATTTATATTGTGTAATCAGTAATTGTAACATTTATTTACGGGTGCATAGAGAATACATTTTGTTATTAATTACTCTTAATGTAAAGTTCTGAATTATTTTTTAAAAATTAGTTTTTTCAGGGTTTTTTTTCTCCTAAAAACAAAAGAATTTCACAATGTCGAAAATGGAAAGTCTTTCCCGTTGTGTTTATGTATTAATAAATTACTAGTAACATTCCCGTGTACTTTTGGTGATGCTAATTCGATGTGAAGTTAGGTGTCACTCGCGGTAGATGCTATCACAAACACTCAACCACAGCTGGGGTGAGCTACCCTTTGTTGGCAACTTGCTAAATGTATAAACAGTGATTAGACCTTCCATAAAAGAATAACTACTAAAATCACCAATCACATCACGTGACCCTATGATTCAAATAAAACAACGCAATCACCGTATGCGTCGCGTCATTCACTGAAAAAACTACTCTCAGCGAGTGGTCTGTTTTTTGGGAAATCCGATCAGCCAGTTAACTGAAAAGAAAACAACTATTGAATGATTGCCGGTGAATGCAAACATGCTGAAGTTAATAGTTCTAGCTGTGGCATGTCTGGCCGTTTCTGGCTCGTCAAACAAGGTAAAAGCTGTTTGTTGAAAATCTGTACACGTTGGTGAACAGTTTATTGTCTTAGTTCATATTTACACAATCAATTGCAGGGTATCAGTGTGTATCATTGAATTTACTGTTATATATGTAATAAACAAATACCTACACACATTATAGTGGATATTTTATTTTGTTTTGTTTGCAGAAAAGAGGAATAAGGGAAGGTAAGTTTGGACTTGATGACTTTACGTAAATATACTGTGTTTATGCATGCATGTCGTAGTGTTGTATGTGATATATTCATGTGTATTAAGGTGTAATTTAGTGAGAGAGTGTCGTTAATACGCGAGAATTGCATCGTACTGCGACATAAAGGTGTCGACTATGAAAATATCGGTGTATATCATGGCAAGCTTCAAATCATAATACACCTACTTGCCACACGTGCAAATCTCCAATCGCTACCAGTTACTTGCGAAGATGGATGAATCTGTTGATTTGCTGTTGCGGGTGTTGCAGTTCACGGACGTGTCTGCGTAATAACGCGCTGATATTATAACCTGTAGTATAAAGTACTCGGCATATTTGAACATATTATCCTTAATAATACGTAACTGCATCCGTGCTCTCATTAATTGTGTGCGAAATGTCCTTACATAACCGATTGTTCCTTTAGTGCTCTCTGTACTACTGATATGCAATTTCAATTAAAGTTCTCAAAAAGTACAACATGTACAGTTATAATGAAAAATTATTACCCTGTGTATTTCTCTTCAGGTGCATCGAGAGTTAAACGAAGTGATATTGGTAAGATATATGTTATCTCATATATTTGTATTAACCGCACATATATAACGGTACACCACAATATTATACAAGCAAATATATACAAAGTGATTTCAATATTATAAAAATAATAGTTCCTTATACCATGCTGTTTTAAAGATTGAAGAATACACACCACCAGAATAGAAACAAATTCAAACTGCAAACTATCACGTTTGTAATCATATCGTCCATTTTTGACATCAACCTAATTACTCAATTCCCGAAGATTTGTGTCAAATAACATTCCATTACCTTGATACATCGACACCAAGGTCCAGAGAATACCCTGCGGAATGAATTTAACCATTGACTATACAAAGATTGGGTTGGTGGAAAAACTTAATCACTCTATTTGGTATTAGATCGCTTATATTCCTTTATTTTAATACGCTGCTAATTTGTATTCATTTTTAGTTATTTAAAAATACGCAAAATGTACTTGTTCACTCATGTCAGCCAAACGGCTAATGTGTAAGTGTCTTGCATTTTGTACAAAATCTCACATGGATTATCACGTTTCTACAAAAAAAACTACACATGTCAGGGTCTTATCCTTATCCAACTTTGATTGAACATGATTTGACGCAAGTTTCTGAGATAACCCTACTGCCTATTCATTCTGACATTAGCGTGTGTTACATCGATTGTTATAAATTATAAATTGAGCCGTCTTTAAAAATGTGCCCTTAATGTGGTGCATCAAAACAGCTATCAACATCTCTTGTATATATATATATCGAAAAGAGACTCAATGATAAACGATCGCTGGAAAAAAATGTTCATTGCCAAAGACGGTCAGCGTGATGATAGCGTCAATTTGAGTTAACATGCAACCAATTCTGAAACACCTTTGACGACTCTGGTTAAAAGCAAAGATTAGACATAACACCAGCGGATATCGGCGGACAAATGGTGTCAAATTAACAAAATTTACACATATTCTGTCGATATACTTGGTTATGTCGTCTTCACATTCAGTTGCTCAACAGGTAATCCCATGAATCAACAACACTAGTAAACTTAGTTCGAATGTCAATCGCCCTATCAACTTGTACATTTAATTTGTATGTATATATGCAAAGCACAAAAGTTAAAACTAGCACAGGTTTAGATTTTTTATTTTTCGGTGTGCAAATTAGTGTGCACCAAAACGCGACATTGTAGGCTGGTGTTTAACGAAAGCATCTGTCCCAGTACTCCGGTTCTTGTACAGCTGCGACAAACGTCTCATCTCTAATTTTGACAGTCGCGTTCAATAGCTTCTGGCCTCTTTTTCTTTGCACTATCGACATAAACTAGTATTTTACAATTTATTCAATTTTTCAACATAGGCACAATTTAATTTACTTTTGCACAGATTTAGTTTTTTTTTCTTATACGCATCATGCAACCGGGGTGTATATATATACACCCAGACATATTGTTTTAATTGCGTTGTGATTCTAGTTAGTATTTTACGTAAGTACATTATCAATATGTTACATAAATATCGAGATTGACATTACAATGTTAGAACATTTAGAATACTTTTACAATGCAATATTAATTAACTAAACATTACATTCTAAAATGGCTTTATCTGCGTAATATAGCGTACGTGAGCTAACTTTATACGCTTTTATTATTTCAGTGTCATGTTTAATCTTATTAAAATCCGATGTATTGTACGGCATGAATTTAATTTTATTTTATATAGTTAATTTTATTTTCACTATATGTATTTATTATTTCATAATTGTTTTTATTATTATTGCGTACATCGCTTTTTGTGTTGTTTTAACTGTAGACACACATGGAGGTGATGTGAAATTTTGAAATAAAACCTAAAAGGCAGGTGAATACGAGAATCCAAATTCTCACCAATTTATTGGGGCGAATCGAACTTCTAACTGATCAATGGTGATAATTATCATAGATCAACATTGATGGAGCAGAAAATTTATCGACATGACAGAAATCAACAAATTATCACCAATACCGACGCGAATATCTTGCCAAACTGCAAGAAGTGTCCGCGTCTCTCAATTTACCAATTTGGGGTACGAGTGAAAATACTAAAATACAGCAGTCAATGTAATATTATACTGCTCGTCGCAATAGTGAGCAACGGAACGGTAGCAGTAGCCCATATGGAAATTCTCGAGCTTAGCCTTATAAGGCAATTGGAAAATTGACCGGCGTGCCTAACTAACTTTTCTTGGTAGTTCCGCCGGTCAACTTTTGATTGAGATGGTTGTATTCAAAATACAAATCCCCGTCACGCAACTAGATCTTTTTTTTCTTGTGCATTGCATTTTTTGTTAATTATAAGTTTACTCCCACGAGCCCATATGGAAATTCTTGAGCTTAGACATGAAAGGCAATAGACAAATTGACCGTAGTATCTGACTAACTTTTCCTGGTAGTTTCGAACTTTTTAATTGAGGTGGTAGTCTTCGAAATAAAATTCCCGTCATGCAACACTCTCTCTTTTTCACGTGCCTTGTTTCTCCCATGAGCATGCTGTCGGCCAATATAAGAGACTAGCTATGAGTGTCTGTGGCTTGAAAGTGATTTCTATAGTCATTGTTGATTAAACTCGAATCAAATAAAATAAAGTAAAAGAACATGTATAATACAAATAAATAATTAAATAAAAACATATTCAAGAAAAATGAGAAAAAATTAAAACCAAACTAGGATATTGTCTAAATCGGATTGAGTCATGTCCAATTACATGAATGTGATACAATGACATGTTACCGGATAAACTGAAAATAATTGCGTATTGGATTTTTATAATGTTAGCTCTGCTGACAGTTGACTTGTGAGTGCACAGGATCATGACGTCACTGTCTTGTAAGCTATTATTGCTATTCCTTTGATATTTAATATGTATTCACTTTCTGTCTAATTTCACCTCATTAAAATCTGTTATATTACGTTACACGATTTGCAGCTGTCTATAATCGGACAACATATTTTTTCTTATTTATTGCCAAAACGATAATTATTTTTTTTTTTTTATCAAAAACAAAAAGTCAAGCTGGAAACATATTTTTCACTAAATTACTAGAACAGCGTGTTTTTTTCGAGGAAAAGGTAACTTGCTCAATAGTGATTCGAGACTAAATTTTTAAAATTATTTTGATAATAACATTGCGCATCGCTCGGTAATAACTCAAACGTCGAATACATGTAGTACATGCGATAGTCACTTACTACTGTGGGAGAAATAACGGGTTCTAGCCGTGCAAGCATAAACGCATTGGCGTCACAGTTGACACACTTGGCCACAACTTACTCGCAACTTGTTATCTAACAAGTGACTTAACAATGAATCCACTCATTCCAGCACACACACACTTACACACACAATCACAAATCGGTTATATCGTTTTCTAGTATTCCGATGCAGTCTATATGTTTGAACAGTATATCCTACCACGTATAAGAGCGCATTCAACAAAATGGCAACAGCCGCTGAATCCTTGCCAATCCAACAAAGGATTATAATTACCCACTGATTATTTGAATGTGCGGTCAAAAATGTCAAACTTTTTTTTCTTGTTTGACAACATCTGTTGCACTAATTCTATAAAAATTGAAAGCGCGAGCTTTCGCAAATGGAAGATTAAACACAGTCATACGAGAAAGGGTTATTCATTATAAACATGCTGTCACTGTTAAATTACTCTTTTATACGAATCATGTAACTACGTATGACAACTTGTTATGGTAAATGTTCCGCACACCATTGTCAAAAATGGGAAGAATCGTGTTCGTGATGTTTATAAGCATATTGTAAAATTATAAAAATGTGAACAATATTGCAATTAAATATTTATGCAGTATATTAAATGATGAACAAATATTTGGTGAAATGGGTTTTGTCAATCGCATCGATGATAAAGTTTAATTTTTATAAAAAAAATAAAACTAGTGTTATAACTGTAAATTTCGCATTCATTCCTTCATATATATTAACTCAATGAAATGTGTGCACATTTTCATGAAGTTATCACTTTTGTTATTTGATCAATTTATTAAAAACGTATATGTCAAAAGGTGATTGTCTTCTCTGGAGAACATAGCTGTCCCGAAGAATAATCATTAACTGTCCGGGTTCGTAATGAAGCGTATAAACAAGGTTTATATCTGTATATTTATATACTGTACGTTGCTCGTTCGAAAGTCGGCTAGTGTAAGTGGCCATGGGCCCATGCTTATTACATGACATTTGCTGCGTGGTCAGACGCATGTCTGCTTAAAATGGTGTGGCGCGGCGCGTGGCGTAATCACGATTTCGAATCCAGCGTTGTGATGTATATATGATCGGTTGTCTGTAAATGCATCCTAATTAAATGCGCTGGAAGAATTACAATTCTTATGAAATATTATGATATTTCTAATATAACAAAAGAATCGCAAGATTAAAATATGAAACCAGTTCATCGGTAAATCACATAATGCAAATAATGAGTATATATTTGTAACGGCTCTCCAATTACTCGTTTATAAGTGTTGCATGTTACAAACTAATCGTATTCTATTTCATATTTGTGTCACTCAATTTACAGCATGTGGGGAAAACGAATTTTTTTTCCGTGACAAGTGTTACCTTTTTTCCACGGAAAAGGTATTGGGCGATGTCACTAAAGGTTTGTGTGAAAATTATGGTGGCGAATTGGTCTCGTTCTCCTCGGATGAAGAATTCGATTTCTTGAAAGATACCATAAAAATGGATCCCAATCTTGACGGATTAAGTTACTGGACAGGAGCTATAAACCAACGCCACAAGTGGCGGTGGGTCACTGGGGAAAAAATTAAAAACAAGTACTGGGTTCATGGGAAACCTACTAGTAAAAGAAATCGCAATTGCGGAAGCATGTCCCCCGATGATGACTATTATCTTGTTAACTTGAAATGTCGAGGTCATTATCAAGGATTCATCTGTGAGAGAGGTGAGTGTTACATGCACGTTTATGGAGTGTTGTTGATGATTAAATATAGAAATTCTTCCACAGATTTGATTTTATATTTGTTCAAACGCCGCTTCACGCTCCGAAATCGGCTGGCTCAAATACCCAATGTGAGTCGCTGTCGGGACTTGTCGGAATAGTGACTAAAAACGCGTGGTCACGGTTCAGTCATTTGCCGACTGGTGCCCCATTGTAATGCCATAGTGGTGTAGTAACATGATAGCCCCAGCAGGAAATCTAAACAGTTTAAAGTTAGATTCAATTAAGGTATTATTAACTTCATATTTTTGTGTGTTTCATTTTTTTCGCTATAGGAAACACGCCACAAAATAGATACGCAATGGAATCAGGTAATTTGTTTTCATAAAAATGATAAAACGTTATTTTATAATATGCAATATCCATCTCCTGAGTATGTTGACATCCCGATTAAAGCTTACAATGAACACGACAGAACGTACGCATATATCAGCATACTATGAAAAAAAAGTAAAAAGCCGGTGTATTTTATTTCCAGGCGGATGCAAGTGTATGGTAAGCGGTGACCCTCACTACATGACCTGCGATGGGAAAAAACATGACTTTCAAGGAAACTGCACGTACATAACTTTTCTTGACAACTTACACCCTGATCAACCATATTTCAAAGTAATGGCTAAAAACTCGTATGACCCGAAAAAGAAGAAGATGGTGACATTACAGGAGCATATTACCGTGGAAATATTTCACCCAAGCTTCACTCAGAGCTATACTTTCAGTTTCTCCAGGGACAACGTCGTGCACGTGAGTTCACAAAATATATTACATATACAATCAAATATATCGCACCACACATACCACCACGCACACCAAACTACCAAGCCTCATCATGCCGACCACATACCATACCGCACACATCACCACTCCACAAAACCATAAGACACACACTCAGCGAACCACATTGAATTTCCACACAGCATTACATCACACCATACTTCCCATGACCCCACCATGCTATACCATACCTCACCACGCCACACAACACGTTTTTCTACCATACCTCACCACACTTTTCAACAATCCGTTTGGCTTTTATCCTATCTACAATAAACCCGTTATACTCGTTTTGTGGAGGCGGTATAATAAACATCTCACAATATATCTGATCCGACCAAATATATAATTGAAGAGAGTGCGAATTATACACATCTTGTTAATGTCCAACGTTTTGGCTCGACATACACAGGCGACCTAAAAGTGCTAAACTCAAATGCAGCAAATAATGGATTTTCTCATGACATCTGTATGGAGGTTTCTGTTCAAAGTTGGTTTTAATTAGCTAATTTTATGTCTTACATGTAATCAAAAACTCCGAGATCACGAGTCTTATCTTATCTCCTCACAAGCACTCTTTCCTGCCAATTACATAATATTGACATGCTTACCAAAATGGCGCACCACATAAAGGGTTATAAAAAGCGACAAAACACATTTTCCTCTGCTTTTGGGAAATATAAAATCATTGCGTTTACTACACACCAATCAACTTGGAACTATAATAACATTTTGCGAATACATTTATGGCTGTGTCCTGCTCTGTGTTTTTTTCCTGCACTGATTTGTTTATATTGTTTTCTTTCAATCAGCTGTCCAATAGCCCGAGGTATCGTACTCCAAATGTACTCCGAAGTATTATCCACAAATCCTAATGATTCTTAGCATTTTATATTGCCACCCCCCCCCCACCAATAATTCTGTTTTAGTTGATTTTGGCATTTGTCAGTTAGAAACTATTGAGCTGGCCTGGAACGACATCAGTGTGACTTCATGATCATGATGATCGATTACATATTATATAATCCCTCATCTTTGGGCATTTTGTATATACACGCCGAGGCCGCGTTGAAAGCAAGAGAGAGCCAGGAGTCGTATTTTAGTCTTCCAAATAATGTTTCATTCGCCCGCGGTCTCGTCCACTGTTTTCCTGATTGGAACAATTGATACAATCACAGGAGAGATGAAACACATTTCGGGTGACATAAAAACAATTCGCGTAGCAATCTCGCTCGCGAACTTGGCGACTATTCCCGTTCTATGGATATTGAAAGTAGTGTCTGGGTTTATCCACAGCTCAATGGAGTCAATGTTTCACCACCGTCAAATCCCGAAGAAGGTATACTGCTGACTTCAGTTGGGAAAAAGATAATGCTTCAAACAGTGTTTGGATTTTGGATGACTTGGGACTTCGTGAGCCGCACGGAAATGAGAGCACCACCAGAGTACCGGAACAACATCGGAGGCATGTGTGGAAACTGTGATGGCAATCCCGACAATGACTACTTCGCCCCGGACGGTAGCCTCACCTCAACTTCAAATATGTATGGGAACAGTTGGAAATCGGGTACAAGGTAAGTAACTATGATTTAAGATATGCAAACTAATTCGAGTATACTAATTATGCGATGTGATTAGCCAGTCCTGGTCGCGTAAAGTTAAGTAAGCATCCATCTGCGTGAGCGTCAATGTTAGTAATGTTTGTGTTCCTTGTGAGTACTAGTTCACCCAGATCAATATACGAGAGGTGTAAACCATCGTATTGTGATATGGATTCATGAGAAATTACCGTGGGCGCGTTTCAGTAAACTGAAATCTTACATGATGTAGACGAGAAAGCTGCCCGGGTACACAAATCAGCTATATAACCTTGTGTTACGTGTTTCCGTGAAACAAGAAAGTATTGATCGGCATGCAACTGAATTGATGTATTTTCACTTTTGAGTGAATACATGTGTTTTAACATAAATGCAGCACATGTGTGGCGTTGGTTATATACACTTATTGTACACACATTTCCCTAATACTACGGACTCGGGGAAAATAGAAATGAACCGTCTTATACCGAATGGCAATGTCCCATATCAACAGGAATATAGCCATCGCTCATAATGAACCGTCATATGTTTTCACAATTATGAAATTATATTACATATATAGAATATTAACTTTACACATATGGTATGGCCATGAGTTATAGAGGATATCTCGCCAGTCAGATTTATTGACAGATTTAAGTTATTTTCATTTAGTCGGAGCTTTTGCCATTTTTTTCCATGACCGTAGCTGTCCGGATACCGATCAGGAAGTTGATGAATGTATACCAGAACGCGTGGCTCTTTACGGTGAGAACGATAAGTGTGGCAAGATAGGAGACACCTCGGGTCACTTCGCCAACTGCATCAACGGCCTTGGTCAGGAAGTTGTTGACGAATTCCTGCAAAACTGTATCTATGACATGTGTTACATTGGCGGAGACGATACGCTATGTCAAAGCATTGGTTCCTTCTATGACGAATGTCTATATAATGAAATCGAGATTGAGACCTTCCGATCTGCCACATTTTGTCGTAAGTTGTATTGATGTTATTTTGCTGAAATATATATACAATATTATAATACATATATATAAGAAAAAAGTATCCCCGTCATACTCACCTGAACCTGTTTATCCCAGTGAACGCTAAAGACAGAAGAAAACCTTCACTCAATATTGTTCAAACAGTTCTCAGCAAAACGTATAGCATATAACAAACTTTGTCTTAAACGAACAAAGAAACTATCAAATATATATATATATATATATACATATACTTTTTCGCGTGAATATTAGCGTTCAGGAAGTTAGGTATATACACTACCTTAGCAGCATCGTCGCAATTGTATTCAAAGTAAAATATTCAAAGCATATGTTATTTTGATTTGACTATGCAATAGTTGGACTCCCTCCAACTTTACGCAATGCCAGGAACTGTTCATAAATAAATAGTATACTATTGGACATTTTGAAAGAATATATCGATTTGCAGTTTTTCGGCATATGTTCAATCTAAACTTGCAACTCGAACTTGAATTTTGTTGGAGCTGAAATTGCATATAATTTACAGCATTTCATTAGGTAACGTGGTCTCTTTCTTGTAGCGCTCGAATGCCCAAACAACAGTGTATACAACCCCAGTGCACCTCCCTGTGAGAATACCTGTGCTGAGCCGACAGCTGCTGAGTCCTGTCCCGACAAGAATATGGAGATGTGTTTATGCATAGAGGGATATGTTCGCAGCGGATATGAGTGTGTTCCTTCTACTGAGTGTGGTTGCTTTGGAGCCGATAACATATATCGCGTGGTTAGTTTTAGCTTATAACATTGTGCACTCACTCAGGCGCACTCACTGTTGTAATGCAACTAAAACATTCCAATTCTTCATGCGGGATTAAAAAGTGGAAAAGTACTAGTGTTTCTGGACCAGTACTGCCATATAGAAGGCTTGGACAGAACCGCCGTGACCTGCCGCCGGAAAGTAATGACGGCATTTAAAATATAGTAAAAATTTCAAAAACATTATTTGTAATCGCGTAAATAAATTTCGAAGCTGTCAACTAACTTCTTTTAACCAATTCACGTTGTACAAGTCTATTGTTGACAGCGGTCGCTAACGACAGGGATGGCACACTAAATTATTCTTTCTGAAAATCAAATATCAATAATATAAGATGAACAAGACTGTTCTGTATTTGAATGGCGGTGTTTGTTGCGCAGCACGTTTTCGAATTTTAACGTATTCAAGTTTTACACCTTTGTGTACTCCCGGAGGCAATACATAGAACTTGCCTAATGGGGACGTGTCCCTGTAATTGGTCTCTTTTTTTGGATTTAAGGTATAAGCATCGGTCTTATTTCTGGTCTAGATAGGTATAAATATCAGTAATATGAGCGAATATCTCCAACTTAGATCCCGGCCTCAGATCCATATACACATCAACCTGGAAATCAAACAAGCATTTAAACGGAGATTTAACACGAATTAGAAGAGGGCGCACATTCCTCAGTGAATTGGCTTACATGTGCTTCTATTGGAGATGCTCTTTTAATAGAGCAATACGGTAACTGTTTTATTTGGAATAAACAGTGATGACAGAAATAGTAATTTGGTATAAATATGGGTACAGATTTTGCCACTATCCAGGTATAAAAATGGTCACACTTTTGAGCACTCAGGGGCAGCTCCCTACCCAGCTATGTATCAACTGCCCCCCCCCCCCGGGGCGTGTACTTTGTGTGGGATTGATGTCGAACACGACGCCGCGCGTATAAAATGTAAGCTGTCAGAAACGACTAATACATTGGTGGCCATTATGTCGTTTTAGAGAGATGAGACATGGACCGACTCCAGCTGCA